CGTACAGGAAAAAGAGAGGATCACAGCCAGCTTCCCCAGAAGGCCAGAAATGGTACAAAACAAAAACACCTTCTTGACCACTTGCTACATGTGAAAAGCCACCAACCACAGAGAAGATGCATGAAACCAGTTTAAAAAAGCTCAATGTACTCAGGTTTCTATAAAATAAGAACATATGAAGATAATATGAGGTTAAAACGACTGTGGCAATAGTAATCACAAAAGAAATAACTACTATTTTAAATAAGAGAACACTGTACTTATAAACATCACGAGAACAAGTAAAATGACATCATCAGACCTACTTAGGCAGAGGAACGTGGCTGACTCCCTTGTCGAAGCCAATTCATAAGGCTTTTCGAATTCGGCTGCAGGTACTTTCACATATTCCTTCATGTTGTCAAGGACCGTTTTCTAGTTCGTCTTCCTGCTCCTACATCCTTTTACCTATTGCTCACGACGTGCCTAGTTCACTTTACTTGTAATTAATTAGCAGAGGGCACTAATGTACTGTAACTTATCCAACTCGTTGACATCAAATGTAAAGCTATCAAGAACTTGATAATGTCGATATCGAATTCTGCTGGCAAGGTCAAAGAGCTTAAACAAGATACTGTTACAGTATCTGTATTGCTAATTTAATAAAAGCAGATTTTCATGAAGTTTAAATAAGAAAATAAACCCACTTACACCTTTTTTTCATTAAGGCATTCCTTTAATTCCCAACCTTCTTTTCTCCAAAGAGAAACAGGGCTAAGCGTATCATCAAAAGCCTTAAACAACTGACAAGTCTGAGCAATGTGAACTCTTCCTTTAAATGATTCCAGCGCATAAGGAAGGTAATCCACTGCTCTACTCCTGTGGCATGTGCAATTCAGAACTGTGCTTATGATACACTTAGGAGGGATGTGAAGTCTCGACTGGGATAACTCAACTATGGGAAAATGAAACTGGGGCAGAATTAGAAAGAGAAAACTTAGCGCCAAAAAAAAAAAAAAGCCAGGTTCCTGGGGCATCTGTTCAGTAAGGCTCCAAGCCCCAGTCAGTGACCAAGAAAATCCTTCCCCTCCCTCTCTGGGTTAGGAGCATCACATTAACATAAAAACCACCTGGATGCAGAAGCCACTTAAAAACATTATATATTTTCACTAAGTTTTGCACACTCCTAAATTCACCACTTTTTTTCTTTACAGACACCCCAAGACAAATTCTCCTCCTTGGCTCCCCTGACATCATTCTCACGTGGACTCACCGAAGTCCCCTAGTCCTCACCTCACCTAGGAGCGAGACGGATCAACCTCCAGCGGTCCCTTTCTTCAATGATGAGGTTTAGAATTAATTTCCAACGAGTCCTGACTCATTCACAGAAGAGCTTGAATAGAGGCCCAGGAAACCTCACAGCTGAACTGAGAGCAGTTTGGATCGGGCACGTGGGCACACAGGTTCCGGGAGAATTCTGCTGAATTTTAAGTGGACTAATGTGCATGCCTGGCGTAAAGCAGACATTTAAAAAAGTGTTCCTTCACTAAATGAACGTAGATGCAATGTTCACTAACAGATACAATGAATTTAATATCTGCTCAGTATGTGCTATAAGAATCAAAGTAATGATGAAGTACAACGTCCACTAAATAAATGTCAGAACAGACGGTTTCTCTGACACATGGATGACGTAAGAATTGCTTTAAATAATTAGTGGTTTATTTTTAGGCCTAGTGAAGGCCCTCAATCATCAAGGTGAAAAGAGACAGACTGCTTTTCTATTAGAATACTTTAAAGAATTTATCACTTCAAGAATTCTAGCTCTGTGGTGTCCAAAAAGCTTTAAGAGTCTGTATCACATATTCCCATCAAGGTTAAAATTAAAAGTGAAGTTATTCGTATAGTTAGTGTCATAACATGTTTGCTTCATACAATTAAAAAAAGATTTAGTAGTTATCAATTCCACTCACACATACTCTCCCAACTACAAAATACTAAACACACACACACACACACACACCCCATACACATATACATGTGTTATACAGACAGCCTGTTATATGGGTGTTATTCCTGTACCTGACACATATGTACAGGGCACTGTGCTAAAAACCCCCTACAGGATATTAAAAAGAATTTTTTGAAAAGACATTTAAAAATTGAATTTTAAAATAATATTTGGACAACATTTGAAGACAAGGAATGTCCACTGTCAAATAGACCACACAGTCGCAGGAGCCACAGCAGTTCGGAGAGAAAGCACTTCAAACTCACGTGAAGAGAGGTTTTAGAGAGGACGTGGTA